TCACGTACGGCTCCGATGACTACACGGGCATTGTCTCCGGCCAACGCTCGTTTTGACGCATCGTCACCATCGTCGCCATCGTCTTCAAACAAACATCGTTTGTAATCGTCCAAAGACAGATGATTCCGGACAACGTGTCCGCGGATCCCCTTAGACTTTATGGGTTCGCTGCCTTCCATGTCAAATGCATAGCACTTTGAACGAAGTGCAGCGATCTCAAAGAGGGTGAGGCCGCCGGTCTCGTCTGAAAACAGACCAGGCGTCTTCTTCCTCGAGGTCGAGTAACAAGGGTGATCCTTGGGCAGGCTAGATGCGTCCACGTACACCAGTAAATCGGGGCTGTCGGCTAAATCCTGGTAGAAGTCGCTGACTCTGAGCAGGTATATGAAGGAGTCTGAGAAAAATTAAAAATATATAAATATTGTAAAAATATTTCTACTGTACGGTTGTACTCACCAGTATCCATGTAAACCAGGCTAATTGCGTCGCCATAATGAGGTTTTAATACGTCGTAGAAGTACTTGTACATTAGCGACTTGCTAATGTCAAGCACTGCTAAACCGACGTATATTGGTTTGAGAAACTTGTCAATCTTTGTGTCCATTATGACGGCGCACAACCTTTCGCCGTATTTAATACAGTCGTTGAAGGTTGGTTGGTTTACGAGCTTGCTTAGACGTTCGGGACTGGAGATTAGTTCAATGNCATTCGGGACTAGAGATTAGCTCAATACGGATGCGTTTCCGCATGTTCTCCATTGTTTTTCCTATAAAATGTAAAAAATTATCGAATAACCCACTTTAGCATTGAGCATGCACTTACCAAAGACGGCATTATTCATTAGTTTGAAAAATGCTATTTCAAAAGCATTTGCCGCCTTTTTCCGCATTTCAGTATTCAACTCAATGTATGGTTTCAACCAAGCATTTTGTTGAAACTCTAAAACGCGGTGCACCTGCAGTACAAATATTTATATTAGTATCATAGCTAATAGCTCTAGGTACGATGTATATACTTTATCGACTTGCAGTCCGTGTGCGATCGCCTGTTTAAGATTAACGTAATGTACGACGTACCGCTGTTTGGGTTTCAAAGTGGCCATGAGTTTGGTCTCTTTGGAACCCGGTGGTACATCGTTGACAGGCAAGAACGGCAAGTCGTTGTGCTCGTCATGCAGCCCTTCTGGATACGATACATCTACTTCATATATACGCCCCGTATTACCAGTGTCCGAAAGCAATTGGAGGTCGGCCAGAGGATCTGATCCTTCATACCACCGGAAGCCACCGTACGGCATGGGCTGACTCATAGCCCACCCGTAAAGGTTATTGCCTATATACATTAAACGTTTTTAATTCACAGCTCAATTTATTTATTTATTTATTTACAAATATATACGGACTGTGTCCTATTACATTGCGTGAATTTGTATACATAATATTGTTTACATTGTTTGTTGTCAAATATAGATTAACTTAACTTCTATTATCTAACTTAAACAAATACATAANATTTCTATTATCTAACTTAAATAAATACATAATGAAATAATTACAAATTAAAGATAAATTATTGACAATAAAGATTAAACAAAATCGAATATATAAGTATTACCTGCGTTCATTAAAATATTATGGGGAGAATTTAAAATATAATTTTTATTTGAGAAAATTGGGTAAAATGGCAAAGGGTTTCTAGTATTAAGGTTGTTTATCTTAAAATTAATCAAAGACAACAGCTCTGGACAATCAATATCACCAGTTAATAATTTATGTAAAAATTTTGATAATAAAAGTAAACGACGGTCATTTAATGAAGTAAGATTAAGATAGTTTAAAACAGCATCATAAGAACTATGGGGGTGCCTAAAAATATTAAATTTAAAAGAGACAAATCGTAAAAAATTATTTTGAACAGATTCAAGTATTTTTTTTTGTTTAAGTGTGTTATTTAACCAGACAGAAGGACAGTATTCTAGATTGGAACGAACTAAAGTGCAATAAAGTAATTTTAGAGGGATAGGATCTGAAAAAGAGTCACAAGTACGCTTAATGAAACCTAAAATTCGCATAGCTTTATTTTTTATTAATTCTGAGTGAAAAGAAAAATTTAATTTAGAATCGAAAATTATTCCAAGGTCTTTAAAATGAGAAACAAGTTCTAATTTGGAATCAGATACATAATATTGAAAGTTGATTGGATTTTTTATAAGGTAAAATTGCATAAACTTGCATTTATTAGTATTTAAAGATAAATTATTTAAATTGCACCAGTTTATTAGGTTGTCGATATCAGATTGTAAATTAATTGCGTCTTGTTCTGTTTTGATTATTTTTAATAATTTAGCATCGTCAGCGAAGAGAAGAATTTCGGAGTTTTTAATAGCATTAGGGAGGTCGTTTATAAATATATTAAAAAGTAAAGTGGACAGGTGGTCTCCTTGGGGAACTCCAGAAGGGACGTGAAATTGAGCAGATTGGAAATTAAGATGTTTAACAATTTGTTGTCGGTTAGAAAGAAATGATTGGAACCAAAGAAGTAAAGAGCCAGAGAAACCGAATGCTTGTAATTTCTTTATTAGGATTTGATGACTTATTCGATCAAAAGCTTTGGAAAAATCAGTGTATATAATATCTGTTTGTGCGTTTGATTCGAATGACTGAATGATTGTATTTTTAGTGATTAATAAATTAAGACAGGTCGACCGATTAGGAACAAAGCCATATTGTTTATTTGTAAGGAAAGAGGAACAAAGTTTTGATATTTTTGATGAAATTAATTGAGAAAAAAGCTTAGGAATGATAGAAATCTTAGATATAGGACGATAGTTAGGAACTAAAGAAGGGTCGCCATTTTTAAGAATAGGAGAAACAAATGATGTTTTCCAAAATGTTGGAAAAACACCTTTATTAAGAGAAATATTGAAGATTTTTGTTATAATTGGTGTTAGGATAAATCTACAATTGTATAAAAAGGATACAGAAATTTCATCGGGACCAGTATTGGAATAGGGGTTAAGGGAGGAGATCATATTAAAGACATCAATTTCAGTTAGGATAAGATGATTTAGATTTAATGTAGAATTTAAGCATTCGTAATTATTATTTAGAGAAGCATAATTAGTCTGTTGAGAATTACAATAGGCGTTTGAAAAGTAGCTCGCGAAGAGATTTACAATATCGGTACCATTATCGGCGGATTTTGAATCTAAAGTTAGTAGGTTAGGTAGAGTCTTATTGTTTTTACGATCATTAATGAATTTCCAAAAATATTTTGGGTTTTGTTTAATTGAGGATTGAATTTTATTTAAATAATTACTGTAATCATATTTAGAGAGTGTTTTACACTTAGCTCTCAGGCGGGAGAAATGAAAGTAATCAGATATATTATTATATTTTTTATAAGTAACATGGGCAATTTTTTTTTCTTTTATCAATAGCTTTAAAGTAGTTGAAAACCAAGTGGGGAAATGATTCTTATAGATTCGTTTTCGGACGACAAAATTATTAATCGCGTCGTAAAGAATAGAGTAAAATTTATCGACTAGTTCGTCTACATTATCATAGGTGTTAAAATCGACGGTNTTATACTTTTATATATAATACTTACAATCTTGATACACGATCCATGAGTTTGGTTTTGTCGGATCGTAGCCAGGTGTCTTTGGATTGTTGGCCTTGGCATAGTGCTTGACGGCCTGCACCAGCCCACCACGAATGCCCTGTTCCACCATCAGTAGCATGTCGTAATCGTTTAAGAGCTCCAGCTTCATCCTGGTATATTTCAACATATAATCGAAGCTAAAACCAGGCGCGGTGTAATAGTGCACCGAGTCCAAATTATATGTTGAAATGCAGACTAGAAATGAGAAAGTTCTCAAACACGTCAGCCAACAACAGCACGTCAATCTTTAGGTATAGGTCACTGTACTCACTGAGGGTTGAGCAACCGAAACGATTCCACACCTCTGTGGCGTGTCTATAGTCTTCATCATCGATATTCGACTCATTCAACTGACTATAGAAAGCGTCGCGGGGTGGTAGTACCGTTTCGTCCAATATAGCCCAACTATCAGTGTACTCGTAAGTGTATACGCCCTTACGCGTTACCAACGGCATGTCTTCCGGACGGAACACCTTGGCCGTCTCTCGGAATTTAACGAAATCGGGTGTCATTAGGTTATCGGCCAAGGTGGACAGGGAGGAGGCCATGAATCGGAAGGTGTCGACAAACCGTATGGAGAAGTTATTGGTCACGTGTTTCGTGACCGAAATATACTTCTCCTCGGAATTCGGTATGACCGAAATCCTTTGGTCGTCGTACCCCAATTCAGTGACGATGAAATGCGCGTCGTAACCCGAAAGATTGTGCAAGAAGCACGGCACAAAATTGACCGTCTTTACTTTCAGGTTACATGCATTGCACAACGTCTGTCTGAATCGGCCCGATAGATGGCAGTGGTTTGCGACTTTGGGGTTGGAATCCTTGAATGCCATGTGGCACAAGTCGCATACCACTTTCTCCTCGTGCCTGCGCACATCATCGATAGACATTCGGATGGGAACGTTGGTTTTGCGCAACAATTTAGAAATGTTGCGCGTCACTTCAGTTACAGCCATCACAAATGCCTTGGCGACCTCTTCGCGATCCTCGGACCCACGGTATATCACCGGTGATTGCGGTATACCGTAGCGTTCGAGGAGCTCGGAGGGCACATCGTCCGATGTTTTCACCATGAACCCATAGCTCATGGGATGGTGGGTGTGCACAGTCCTGGTGTATGCACCCATACGATCGTCTGTTTGCTCCAGCAAGGCCTCACAATCGGCGTAGATGTCAAACGGTAACCGTTGAGTCTTTACCCACGCGTCAAATTCGACCTTACTGCCCTCCGCCGGCATAACGGGTAAAATAGGCTTGTTCTTGCCGCATATCAACTTGTGTTGCTCCAACGCTTGNTATCAGCTTGTGTTGCTCCAACGCTTGATGACCCCGAAGAATATGCTTTTTAGACTGATCATCAAAGCTAGTGAAGCAACGTCTGCAAGTGTATATGCGACATTTGTGTTTAGTTTTTTGACTGCGCACAAGCCTCGAAAAATTTGAAATGTACGCGTAATGATACTTGTCAGAGTCACCGATGTACAACAGGTCAAAATGATTTTGTTGTTCTTGGTCGGCGACTCTTAGAGGATACACCGACCACTTCATCATAACGTCGTCTCGTTCCAAGCCGTACACGTTAGGGTTTCGTCGCTCTTAATTTGGGACACAGGTGTGGGGAACGTCAACCCCGTGAAATCATACCTGTGTTCCTCGTTAAAATATTTTCGATCAACGCGATACTTGTGGTCTCCCT